AAAAAAATGAGTTTGCGTGTCACCTCTGACACGCGTGTCGTAGGTTCACCATCACTGTTACTAATGTTGTGGCCTCACCCCATAATAAAGAAACAGAATTTCTGGAGGATGAGGCCCAGAAATCAGGATTTTAAAAAGATTCCCAGGTGATTCTAATGTGCAGCAAGGTTGAGAACTGCTGGTCTAGAGCAGTGGTTGGCAAACTGCAGCCCCTTGAGTGTGACTCTTCCACAAAATACCACGTGCGGGTGCACATGTACAATGCAATTGAAACTTCGTGGCCACACTCAAGGGGCCAAAGATCTGCCAACCATTGGTCTAAAGGATGAGGAGTGGGCAGTGTCCGCCAGCCACTGTGGGCGTTACATGGGGTGATGTCTCCTGTGCCGGGCCACCCGTGCCTGGTGCCTGGTCAGTGGTCATCAAAGTTGAATATCATTAAATTTTCCCTTTTATCAGTGGCTGCTTCAGAGTCCTGGTTGCAGAGTCTGGTAACTGGGGGTTTTCTGACATAGTTCTCTGCAGCCCCAGTGAGCTTCTGCTGACTAACGAAAGGAAAACCACCACTGCTCCTCCGACAGTGACAGCTCTAAGAGGAGGTATCGCAAGCACTGGGCAGCATTCCAGAAGCTTTGAAAATTGGGCCTCGCTTTATCTTCTAACTACGTGATGAGAGAGATATTATTGCACCCATTTTACAGATGAGGAAAAGAGGTTTAGAGAGGGCAAGCAAGCTGCCCAGGGTGGCACTGCTAGCGGCAGAGCAGGGCTCAAACCAGGCCACTTCGACTCCAAAGCCCTTGTCCATTCTACTGTACGACCTTGTTCTTCAGGGAATCCATGCATCCTGCCCACCTGGGAACAAAGGCCAAACCAGCCCCTGGCCCTGGGAAGAGACACGTCTGTGACCATGTGGAAGTCCAGATGTCGAGCTGTCACCACTCAGCCCTCATTACTTCATTTGGGTTGAGAAAATCAGTATTCGTAATTCAAAGTTTGTCTTTAAAAATCAAATGTTTATTACCCTCCTGCCATGTGCTTAGCATTGTGGAGGTGCCATGAAAGAAGCAGAAGTATAAAATAGGAAGTTTATAGACTAGTGGCAGAAATGGGACCAGCACATTTGAAACAATAAAGGGCATCTTTAAATCGGTAGCATCTCTCCCCAGCTGTTGAAACGTATTGTAGAACTTCAGTCATGAACACTGGAACATGAACAGAAAGACCAGCCAGTCAAAAGGCAATAAATATAGAAATAGGCCCAAACACTGAAGAGAAGTTACTATCAAATAAAGTGGCATTTCAACTCATTGGAGGAAAATAGCTAAATTCCTCCTTCACCCTTCACTCCAAATTAAAATTCAGACAAAATCAAAATTAAACAAAAAAATACTTAAGTTATGAAAGTACTAGAAAAAACAAAGGAGTTTTTGTTTGGTTGGGTTTGGTAATCTTTTCTAAGCAAAACACCAAAAGCCATAAGGGAAAACCTGATAAATTTGACCACTTTAACATTCCTACATGTCAAAAAAATCATAAAAACAATCAAATATGTGTCTGAAAAGGCAGAGTCAAATGACAAATGAAAAACATTTAATAACAACTGAATGACAAACATCTATTTTAATTTATAAAGAATCTCAGAACTTAATAAGACAAAATGTGCGAAGGTCATTGAAAGGCAGTAACAGAAAAGGACACACAAATGGTTTATAAACAATGAAAAGATGATGGACTACACACTGAACACGGATATAACAGATAGAGCCTTTTTACTGTGGTGAAGTACATATAACAGAACTTATGCATATGAGCACTTCTAGTGCACACTTCGCTGCCCTTAAGTACATCCATATTGTGCGACCACCACCACCATCCGTTTCCAGAGCTCTTTTCATCTTGCAAAACTGCAACTCCACACCCATTAAACAATAGATCTCCATTCCCAGCCCCCAGTAACCAGTGTTCGAATTGCTGTCTCTGCAAACTTGAGAACTTTAGATACTACATGTGAGTGGAATCATGCAGTATTTGTCGTTTTATGAGTAGCTTATTTCACTTCGTATAATGCCCTCAAGGTTCATCGATGTTGTAGTGTAATGCAGAACTCCCTTCCTTGTCAAAGCTGAATAATATTCTATTTATGCATATACCACATTCTGTTTATCCATTCATTCATCGGGCACTTGGGCTGCTTCTACATTCTAGCTCTTTTGAATAATGCTATGAAACATAGCTGAACATAGATCTTTTTGAGATACTTTTTTCCAAATATTTTTAGTATATACCTAGATGTGGAATTATTGGATCATATGGTAATTTCCATTTTTAATTTTTTGAGGACCTGCCTCAGTGTTTTCCACAGCAGTGACACCATTTTACTTTCCATCAATAGTGCACAGGGGTTGTAATTTCTCCACTCTTTGCCATCACTTGCTATTTTCCTGTGTTTTTTTAATGTGTATTTTTTATTGTTGATAGTATTATAGATGTCTCCCCTTCCCCCAATTTTACCCCTTATCCTCCCAGCCCCAAGCCACCCACCCCCAGGTCTTCATCCCCTATTGCCCATGTCAATGGGCTATGCATATCCTATATAATAAAAGCCTGATATGCTAAGTGTCTAGTCATCTGGTCATCCATTCAACTAATCAAAGCATAATTAGCTAATGATATGTTAAGGCTGCTCAACCTCATGCTATGATGTGCAGTGACCACCAGGGGGAAGACAGTCAACCATTTGACCAGTCACTATGACGTGCACTGACCACCAGGGGGTAGACACTCCAACTGGTAGGTTAGCTTTCTGCTGGGGTGCAGTCAATAGGGATTGAGCAAGATGGTCCAGACACACCCTGGGGCCCTCTTACGGTCCCTCCCCAGCTGGCCAACCTCCTGTGTCCCTCCCAGCCCCAAGCATGCACCAGTGGGGTCCGTGGGCCTGGCCTGTGCCCTCTCACAATCCGGGACCCCTAAGAGGATGTCGGAGAGCTGGTGTCGGCCCAACAGCGGAATGACCAGTCACTATGAAGTGCACTGACCACTAGGGGACAGATGCTGAACGCAGGAGCTGTCCTCTGGTGGTTAGTGCGCTCCCATAGGGGGAGTGCCGCTCAGCCAGAAGCCGGGTTCACTGCTGGTGAGCACAGCGGCAGTGGCAAGAGCCTCTCCCGCCTCCTCAGCTGCACTAAGGATGTCCGACTGCCGGCTTAGTCCCACTCCCCAGCAGTTGGACATCCCCCGAGGGCTCCTGGACTGTGAGAGGGTGCAGGCTTGGCTGAGGGACTCCCCCCCGCCCCCGAATGCACAAATTTCGTGCACCAGCCCTCTAGTAAATATATAACTTCTTTGGTTTATCTCTTCTCACCCCTGCAACGCCACATCGAGGTATGTCAGTCTGTTCCATGCCTTCAAGGCTTCAGGTCTTATTTTGTTGGTCAATTCATTTTGTTCATTAGATTCCACAAATAAGTGAAATCATGTGATACTTGTCTTTCTCTGACTGGCTTATTTCACTTAGCATAATGCTCTCCAGGCCCGCCCCCCCCCCCCCCCCGTGCTGTCTCAAAGGGTAAAAGATCCCTCTTTTTTACAGCTGTGTAGTATTCCCTGGTGTAAATGCCCCACAGCGTTTTTATCCTGTGTGTTAATAGTAGCCATTCTAATGCGTATAAGGTCTCATTGTAGTTTTGGTTTGTATTTCTCTGATCATTAGTGACCTGGGACATATTTTCTGTACTTATTGGTCATTCATATATCTTCATTCATATGTCTTCTCTGGAGAAATGTCTGCTCAGGTCCTGGGCCCACTTTGAATCTGATTGTTTGTTTGTTTTGTTGAGTTTTAAGAGTTCTCCATATATTCTGGATGCAATCCCTTGTAGCCAGAGCATTGAACTTTTCATATTTCCAAGGGTCAGAAAATTTGGTGATAAACAGTCAGGGCGAGTGTGGGGAAACAGGCCTCCTCCTGCAGCGCTGGGGGGAGGGTGACTACGCAGCCTCTTTAAAAGGCACGGCAGTGGCATTTGTCGGGAATTTAAGTATACATACCCTTTGACCCAGTAATTTCACTTTCAGGAATTTATTGTACAGGTTCACTTACTCACGAGGGAAAATATATGTACAAGAATGTTCACTGCAGCAGCATCACAAGCACATGAAACATATCATGCAGCAATGCAAATACCAGAATTCAAGGCTAAGTATTAGTCTTGAATGGAGTAGAAATTCTCACATATTAATAGTTGTGCTTTCTATATGCACCTATTAAGTTCCTGTAAAACCCTTAAGCATGCCTGTCTTAATGATTGGCTAACACTTACTGAACACTTCTGGCTCAGCACTGCTCTGAGCACACGTCCTGAGTAGGTGTTACGGACTGAGGAACTGTGGCTTCTCACATCTGCTCCAGAACAGCCCTCTTCGCCAGAACCCTAACTGCTTTCCATGAAAGCATCTGCGTGCAGGTGAAACCCATAGCGCAGAGTTGGCAGGGGTCTGCACACACGTCCGTTTGCCGAATAGGAAACCAAGGCGCTCAGAGGCCCACCATCATAAACTGTCGGCTTAGGATGGAAGTTCTGAGATGAGGGTGCGTTGTTAGTGTTGGCTGAGTGGGGAACTTGATGAAGGCTTGCGTGCCGGTAGGCCGAGAGGGCAGGCAGCGTGCCTAAGGGAGGTCAGTGTGAGTGTCCCCGGCAGGAATGACGGGGCGCCTGCCGGAAGCGGAGATGCCTGCTGGGGGGTGGGTTTACAGGAGTAGATCAGAGGCTGAGCGGAGGACAAGATTAGTGAGGGCCCTCCGGTTGCCTCCACCTGCTCGCCGGCCCATTATTTAAGCGATCATCAGTCGGAGGCTTTCCAAAAGCAAAGAGGGCGGTCATGGGGAAAGGCGGTCGCGCGCACTCTCCTCCCCGCGCGCCCTCCACGTCCCCGACGGGGAGCCGGGGAGGCCCGCGGTTCCTGACTGTCTGGCCCTGCCTTGTCCTTCGTTGCAGCCGTCACCTGCCCGCCCCACAGCCACTACGAGAGCTGCGTGAGCGTGTGCCAACCGCGCTGCGCCGCCATCCGCCTCAAGAGCGACTGCAACCACTACTGCGTGGAGGGCTGCCAGTGCGACGCGGGCTACGTGCTCAACGGCAAGAGCTGCATCCTGCTGCACAGCTGCGGCTGCTACGCGGACGAAATACTACG